GACTCTGAATGTAGGATCAGTATTTTTCTCACAGGTCCGTTGTACGGATTGTAAGGGGGGGGGGGGGCAGACCTTCTGAAAATAGTCTTTTGTTGTAGTTTTAATATGTAAATTTTGATTTAGTTGCTGCTTGCACCCTCCCCACTCTTTGTTTCTCTAGGGTCATACATAGGCGAATCCCAGCAAAAATGTAATGACCCCCCCCCCTCCAACACACACTTTTTTTTTAAAATGTGTATTGCGATTATCATAGGACTTAAAATTGGAAAACATTTTCTGTATATCTCTACATCGAAAAATATAAAACAAATATTTTTTTTATATTTCCTTTTTAAAACAACATAGATAATTTTTTTTTTTAAATGTGTATTGCGATTATCATAGGACTTAAAATTGGAAAACATTTTCTGTATATCTCTACATCGAAAAATATAAAACAAATATTTTTTTTATATTTCCTTTTTAAAACAACATAGATAATTATGCATAGCTAATTAAATACTGAATTAAATATTTATCTTTGCAGACAATATGCTCTGGGTTATAGAACATGATGTGAAAGCGTATCGTAATGCACCTTGTAATCCTTTGGATTTTCAGATTTAAGGCCAATGCGAAAACCCAAAGACGCCGATATTTTATTATGCTACTGTAATCGAAGATCGGGGGGGGGGGGGGGCATACAGTTTTTGTCCTGTCCACCTGTCTATTTGTCTGTTAGACTGTGTTAGCCTCTTTGTCCGCAAAAACTTTAACTATGCCCATAAAATTTGATTGGTTGGAACTACTGCTTTCATATTTCTCATGTGTATTCCTAGTAACAAGGACTTCCTTCAGGTACCAACATATTTGAGCTCTTGACCTTGAACTTGGAGTTTGATCCTCTTTCGCAAAATTTTACCAAACTATAACCTTGGCCAAAACTTTTGAACAGTTGGTGCTATGGCTTTTATACTTCACATCTGTATCCCTTGTGATAAGTCTCCTCCTTGGGTATAAATATGTTTGACCATTTGACCTTGACCTTGGAGTTTGACCAACTTTTAAACAACTTTTGCCTTGACAATAACTTTTGAATGACTAGTACTAGGGCTTTTATATTACATAGGTAATTTTCTTGTGACAAGGCCTGTCATTGTATACCTTTAATTTTGACCATTTTACCTTGACCTTTGATTATGTCCTACTTTTGAAAAACTTTAACCTTGGTTTTAACTTTTGAACAGTTGGTGCTAAGGCTTTTTTAATACCACATGTGTATTCCTTGTAACAATTAAGACCTTCCCTCAAGTACAAACAATTATGATCCCTTGACCTTGGAGTTTGACCTTTTAAAGAAATTAACCTTGGCCATAACTTTTAAACTGTTGCTGCTGTGGCTTTCATACTAGTATATATTTCACAGTATATTCTTTGTTCAAGACCTTTATTTGGGTAATAACATTTTTTTTTATCTTTTGATCTTGACCATGGAGTTTGACTTGCATTTGAGAAACTTTTAACTTTTGCCATAAGATGCCATAAGGGGGCATCAGTGTTTCAAAAATCACACGTTCTTCAGTATCCAAATTGGGCATAAAACATTTACAATGATCCTTTAAAGCAGTGAGTTGAACCTAATAAATTACGACTATAGAAATTATGATAATTTATTTCGATGTATGGTCTAAAAAAACGTTTATTATACCTCTGTGAAAACTAGCTTACAAGTGAAAAATCACTAGTAAAATAAAATTTGATTGGCCGAGAAAGTCACGTGTCCATCATGTTTGCCCTGCAACAAAACGTCGTGTTTCACGATTGTGACGTCACAATTAAACGAGTGAGGAGTTAGATTGTTTATAGCGACGCTGCTAACTTCGTTCGCGCGGTAACAACAACTAAAAATTCACCCCAAAAAATCACCTTAATTAATGGAATTGCATACAGATAGTAGATTAAACGTGCTTTGTTAAAATGTTTGCACTTTTCAAAATTCGTTTATGGAAATACAGCTAACATACGTCATGAGACGTCACAGTCTAGACGTTCCAAATGTCTCGTGCTGTTTGAAGAGGCGGATCTTAAAATTAAGTGAACAATGCACTCGCCCAACGGTCGCACCGTCAGCATATTATCGTTGATTGATTGTGTCGATTTAAATGTGTAAAAATGTAATGGTGTTTGAATGTTACTGGTGTGATCACACAAACTTGTCCCGTAGGAATTTTTTTTTAATGAAACGAGGCTATTGGTGTACCTGTAACTTACATCTCTTTCATATCGTTCTCATCAAATGCATGTTTGCTTTATTCATTGGATCTCCTTTGTAATTCCTGCATTTTGGTTAATTCGGTATTATAAACAATTTATTGCATAATAGTGAGGGAGACATAAAGATTTCTTCGCAAATGAAAAATCATATTTCTCTAGGGCGTTGCCTTCGGGGAGTATGATTTTTCATGGGCGAAGAAATCTTCATGTTGCCCTCGGGGAATATGATTTTTTATGGGCGAAGAAATCTTCATGTCTCCCTCACTATCATGCAATAAATGCAAACTGTGAACTTGTCAATTGCGAAACACACAAAAGGGTATCGCTGATATCATACAGTGTATCATTGCCTTGATCAGGCCCATAGGAAGCAAATTCAGGGGTTTTTTTTTGGGGGGGGGCACAGCCATACATTTTCAGTTGACAGTTGAGGGGACACTACTACCATAAATTTCCTGACAAGCAAAAAAAAAGGTCACCAACTACCAAAAATTCCTTGACAAGCAAAAAAAAAAGAAGGTTATCAGACGTTTCTTTTGAGGTGGCACAAGCTATAGTATCTATGTCTACTATAGTAATCTATATATCGGCAAAATTATTGGGGGGCACGCCCCCCCCCCCCCCCCTCGGTTCCTACGGCCATGTTGATTAAATTTAGGGTCACTAAGGAAAGAATGTTTTGACTGGATGAATGGTCTGTAAGAACATGTGTTAACTTGTCGAGTCGGTAACACATAGATGGGGTTTGCTTATAACCAGAGTGTGTCATGGTTTGATGCAAGGTCATTTGAACGAGTTCAAGGTCATCAACGGAGAAACAACATTCCTTAACTGTCTTTCTACTGGTGAGACATTGCAAGTTGATACCCCTTACAAGATTGCTTATAACCTTAGAATGTGGCATGACCTTGACTCAAGGTCACTTCTTCCTGTTCGCAGCTCCAACGGAAGACCTACTCGTTGCTTTGCAACGGGCTCTGCTCTAGTTTTAAATATGTTTATAATCAACCTATATATGCACGCCAGATACTGTGTCACTAAGTGGCGAACAAAGGCATTCTTAAGGTCTGGCGACATGTTCCTCAAATATCCGTTTTGTTTATCCATGTAATATATAAAAAATGTTTATAATATCAACATTATCTTGTGATTTTTAAACTGTTTTCAAAAAGTCTTTGAAAATAAATACAACAAAAATTGTGATTTTGACAATTTAAATGATTTCAAGTAGGATTATATGTAGGATTATATAGGAAACACTACCCTCAGGTATCTTGCACAAATGCCTGGTAAGGTACCTCAATTTTTGGTGAGGAAACTCGTTAAAGGAACAGTACTTCAATATGACAAATTCTTGGGAAAATTATATATTATTGAGGAACGTGTCGTCTGACCTTAAATACCCTTTAAATACATTGCACACTGACAAGTTTCAATTTCAAGGTGCTTTTATGCAGTGATTTGCCCTTTGATTTGAGTAATACACAGTTCGTAATTAAATCAATTCCAGTTTTCTTAACAATATACTAGACCTAGATGAAGTTATCTAGTACTATATTTACTTAATTAATTGTGGTTTTCCCATTTAACTATTAAGTAACCAACAGTGATTTCCGTTCATCAATACCTTGATGTCTGCATGAATATTTTTCTTGGGATTGAATGAAAAGCATCGTGTATTAAAATAAAAAGGATCAACTTAATATTTTCACCATTAGTCAATATAATTTCTCAAAAAATATTTTTCATTAGTGTATAGATGACCCTTAATTCAAAAGACACACGATTGGTGTCAAGTTATTATGACATCTTAGCGGACAGATAAACGGAATATCAAATAAATTTCAGTTGAAGAGCAATACAGATGTTAATATGCAGATGTGGATTTTCCACAAGTCTGATATTGACAGGCGAAGATTAAATAGATATAGGGTTGATTAGAAATGCTGATTGTAGTGTTGAAAAAGGATGTTAAAAAAATAGTTCTTTGAATTATTTTCCTCTTGTCTCTTTTTCTCTGTTTGGCATACTATATGACAAATAACGTTTCGTGGCAAGATTACTTGATTGTTTTGTAGGGCATAAGCGGGTTTAGAGTGAGACACAGCCCCCTTTCCTTTCGTGTCCCAAAATTTAGTAAAGCTGAATATTTTTTAAAATCGTTGGATATTGCTGTTATTATACGTAAAGTGTGCCTCAGGCTGCCGTCTTATGCCAACCATCCATTTTAAGGTATCCTAGTTCCGCCACTATAGGGAAACTTGTTACATTTGTATATTATACTAGTTGTTGCATGTGTTGTGACTTTCATAAAGATAGGCTTAATTCAATTAAACTTATTAGTAAACGATTATTACCAACTATAAATATTGAGAACTGCATGTATTTTTTATTCAATTACTATTTGCATCTATATCTGTAAATGAATTAAGCATATCTAAGATTTGGACATGGGAAAAAGTCCATCTATTCTATTTATTAAGGAGCACACGGAGGGTGTGACCGGTCGGTAGGGGATGCTCACTCCTCCACCTGACCCCAACTCTAAATTTTGATGTCCGTGTTTGCTCTGCTCCGAATTTGTATCGTTTTATTGGATTTTCGAGATTGAATACTGTTCGTCATCTTAATATTTCATTAAGCATTAAGCATAAAGATCTTAATTTCAGGCTATGGCGAGCTCACTAGCGCAGGACCTCGTCCGATGTGATGCATGCGCTGGTTCCAAAGAAGCTGCTGCGACACACTGTAACACATGTCATGTCAAACTTTGCAAACCGTGCATGTCAATCCATGTACACCAGGGCCATACGTCTCTGGTACAGTCTGGATGCCAAGATTCTCAGCGGCCCTTTACAACGTGTAAGACACACGAGGGTAACACATGTGCTATTCAATGTGTACAATGTGAGACTCCAGTTTGTAATAAATGCATAATTTCTGGGCGTCACAAGAATCATGATTTTATTGAACTGTCTGACCACAGTGAAGATGTGAAAGATAGCGATGTTGTTGAGATTGAAGATACGAGTAGTACAGTAACTGAGAATGGTGACCCTGTTCTTCTGTTAGAGGTAGATACAAATAACTCGGATTTAGACCGCATTGAAATTTGTCAGCCAGATAAAATATGGATTTCTGTCCTGTATGAAAGCACCATTTCGTGCATGGTCTTTTCTGGTGCTGTGAAAGACAGTGTAAACGTCACTTCCGGTGAATATCCATCCGATATAGCTGCAAATGGCGAAAAAGATCTCTATGTGTGTGATTGGAAAGACAAAACAGTTAGCAAGTACAATATGGATGATAAAACATTAGACATTGTCATCAGATTGCAGGAATGGATACCACGTGCCATTTGTGGGAAGGATTCGGGAGATTTATTGGTATGCATGACTAACAGTCATCTTAACCAATGCAAAGTGATCCAGTACGATGTCAGGTCTATAAAAAAAGAGATTCAGTATGATGAACAAGGAGAAGACTTGTTTTCTTTCCAGGGCGGGTATATCTTCATGACGGAAAATGGAAATGGGGATATTTGTGTATCACTGACGGCACACAGGTCGTTGGTGGTGGTGAACCGTGCCGGGGAGTTCCGATTTAGTTACCGTGGAACCCACGACACCCGGAAAGATGGGGAGTTTTCACCACAGGGTGTAGCAACAGACCAACTTTGTCAAATTTTGATAGCAGACTCAGAGATTCACTGCATTCATATTGTTGACATAGATGGACATTTTGTCACATATATTGATAACATCTCCCTCATGGATCCAAGAGATATCGCAGTGAATTCCTTAAACGGCAATTTGTACGTGTGCGAATTCAGTACTGGTAAAATCAAGATAATTAAATATTTGACATAGAGGCCAATGCTAAAAGAAGAGGATAGCTACTTCTTATTGTGATATTATTTGCTCGCCTGAGCCAAAGGTTCAAAGGAGCTTTGTGATCAAAATATTTATCCGTTGTCTGTCGGTGGTATTATCGTCATTGGCGTAAACATTTCACATTTTCATCACCTTCTGAAGAACCAATGGGCCAATTTCAACCAAACTTGGCAGAGAATATCCTTTTGGAAAAGAAGATTAAACTCTTTAAATAAAGGGCCATGTCTCCTTCCAAGAGAGATAATTATATATAAGAAGACAATATTTAAAAATCTTCTCAAGATCGAACCACTGGGCTAGAAAAGATTCAAAACGTCAAAGCTTTTTGACATCAAATCACTGTCCCCCGGTGTAGGCTGAGGCCATATTTATATGGAATCAAAATTTAATTCTGAGGAACAGCATGGCCATGATCAGTGATATACATGTAAATATGCAGGCATCCCCAAGAAGTTCAGTTTCAGATTTATTCAAAGCATGGCCTTCTTGTCATGGGTAGGGTTTGGCCACATTAGGGAATCAAAGTTTAACATTTCAAATTGTAGAGAAAAATCTTTTAAAGTCTTCTATTCAAGACACAAGTTTGTTTGCTTGTTTATGTGTTGTTTAACGTCCCTCTCGAGAATTTTTCACTCATGAGATGCCAACACTTGCCGGTGGAGGGATGCAAATTTTGATCTATTCTCGGCACTCAGGACAGCGAGGATATTTTTCGTGCCAGCAGCCCAGCACCTACTGCGACACGGGACCTCGGTTTATACGGTCTCATCCGAAGGACCGGTCTCCACATCCCACAGTGGGATTCGAAATTCAACTACTTACTCCGCGACTCTAGAGCAGACGCTCTAACCACTGCGCCACGCGGGCGACTCAAGACACAAGTACAATATCATTGCTAATTTACTTATTAAAACGGTATATTTAAACCCCCTGCTGTGGTTTCGAGCATTTTGTATCAAAGAAATGTTCAGTTCAGCTCAAGGTGATATAGCCCACCTACAATTTCTTGTTTGTATCTGTAACACGAGCGTGCATGATGGATGACGAAATTCGAACTTGAGTTATCACTGCACAATCACTGAAGATAAACTTAAGGAAACCCCTACAGAATAAATACAGCTTATCATTGCAGTATCTATACTACATATATGCACGTTGAAAATAAACGTACTCAGTTGTTGGTTTGTGTTTTTTGTTGTATGTAAAGTATCGAGCGTTAGTGTTAGAAATTGTCACTCTCTACCATCGGATCATATAATCACCTCTGTCGTTGGCTCGCGAAAATCTCGGTGTTAGGCACAAGAAATAGTGCGTTTGTTTTAATTCACTATAATTAAATTCCTGCACTAAAGTTTGTCTTTTAATGTATATAGTTACTAAGTAGATCTAGAACTATTAGTTTAATTTGAAATAATTAGGGATGTCAACGAATATTCGAACATTCGAATATTCATTCGATGAGTTGATATTCGAATATGAATTTAAGATTCGAATATTCGGTGTTTTTCAGATTTCACAAAAAAGTAATAAATTTTAATTAGAACAGTGCTAGAATTATCCCCGTTTTATTTACTAGTGATCCTACTTCTTTATCTCATAGATCTTCTAAACTATTTCAATTTGAGTAAGGTATAAAAGAAATAAACAAGAATTATTAATGTTTTATACAATAAGTATTTTCAATAATTTAATATAATCGGATCTAGAATTGAGGACAATGAAATGAAACCCTTCTTGAATGTCTAAGAGACGTGAAGAGTGTACTTATGAAAATAAATTTTATTGATCGTTGATTTACATCTTTGATAGAATCAGCTTATAATATTGTAAAGGGGTTAATTTCAGAATAATGCATCAATTACTTGATTATCTGGTGTTTAATATGAATTTAAAAATTTCAAAATCATTATCGGGAAATTAATGACCTAGGAAAATTGTCTATGGAAGTGTTTGTTTATATTTTCAAAACATTGTATCAAAGATTATATTATATCTCCTATTTAGCAGATTATTGTAATTCATTATGTCTATTTATGAGGAGTAAACGACAATCTTGTCCCTGGTTAGACGACTGGTACGTCAATTTGAGCAATTTGATATCTATATCATTTGTTAAAATTATATTTTGGTTGTATACACTTCAAATCAATTATTTATTTTAAACATTGATAAATATCAAATGTAGAATTCCTTACAGTATATCTACAGAAGTCTACATCATATTTTACCTCGAAATACCGATGCAATACCTGCCATGAGAGTAGGATGATGTGCAATTAAAAATAAACCAGATTTTATTTATCTTATCGAATATTCGAATATATTCGAATACTTTCATTGAATATTCGAATATGAATTATTGACAAAATTGACATCCCTAGAAATAATCCTTGGAATGTCGTGTTTTTTTACCTTACGTCAAAAACTTGACGAGAGCCCATTGCATTTGCAGAGGTGCCGGAGAGAGGAACGAACGACAACTCTGCAAGGGAGATTGAGAAATTGTATTATGGCCAGCGAAATTTCCATTACTTTGGCTTTTATAATTGAACAAACATGTCTAAAGAGTTGCAAGTTTGTATCATATTCAAATAAATGACACACACATGGTGAAAATTTGTTTTATTTTCAAAACTAATTCAAGTTATGCTAATTAATTTGAGATTTGACTTAAGTTTCCTGTAAATTTATGGTCTTAAGACTTTATGTGGATATTCTATTAAAACATATTTTTGATGAAATATCTACTGGATATCCAGGTGCTGTGTACGACTATGTTTTTGTTGCAGTTCTACAGACCGTGAAAAGTCTTCCCGAAGTTCATTGCCAGAAAAAAGAGTCCAGCTAGAAGGACAATATGTTCCAATTTGTAGAATATAGTGATATTTGCCTAAAGCAGTTACAGTATTAGGAAATTTTTACAAACACATTTCTTCATTATCATTTCCTATTTGGTGATTCTAAGACTGCAATTGCATAAGTCTGTCTTAGACCCCCTTTCAGGACTGGGACCCGTGCAAGGAAACCTACAAACATTATTCCGTACATGTCTATAGGTAGATTAAACAAACTGGCAAAATTATTTCAAAGGTTTATTCCATTTCTTGTGATTGCACAACAAAAGTAGAAAGAGAATGAATAACAATAAATATACTGTGATTAGTTAGAAAACAAACACGGTAAGCTGTACACAGATGTCCCCTTCTGAGCAATGGTCAGCAATCGTACAGCTATATAATAAAATACTGGTAAAGATATTTACAAACATTGGTATAGTTTTGTGATTGTTTACAAATGGTTGGCGTTCGTGAAAATACTGCTTATGTAAAATAAAAAATTCTGGCCGACGTTTCCAAAACATGGTTTCAAACTCACACCTACATGTAAACAAAGAAAAAGAATATGAGTCGTATAATATATGGTATGGTACATGTATATTGACAAGAACCATGTACACACTCAACTATCACTCAGTCACCAAGTGAGAAACATATCACAGTCTATAACCATGTATTATGACGTCATAATCACAGGTACTGAAAATGATTTAGCACTCTTGCCCAAAAAGCGACGCAGGTGGGCGTCCTTCATTAGTGCACCATTCCGTTCGTAAATATATACATTCATTCTTACATTTTTTTAAATTGGTTAGCTTTGAAGTGGTTTACTGGACAAAATAAAATAAGGTCCAGATAAAGACCGCGAATTCGAAAATAAAGAAGTGATACGAAAGAAGGAATGGCACACTAGAGTCTGCACTGATCCTCAATACAGTATAAGATGAAATAAGTATCGAGTTTCATGGCACCAGAGGTGATGGGAAAGTTTTAGGAGATACTCCTGGGGGCTTGTTCTTCATCATTTCTTGTCGTCGTTTAACTTCCTTTCGAACACTCTCGTACTGAGGGTGGGATAATTTGTAGGACAACTTCCACAGATGAGGCTCAGAGCGAGGTATATACCGCTGGCCCAGGGAGTCAATCTTCTGGTTTGTCGGAGGAGGGGTCGGCGGTAGAGGGGGTGGGGGTAAAAACCGATGCTCGTATTTCTTAAAGTTCTCAGGTGGTAAAATGTTTCCTGAAAAAAAAAAAAATAAGAAGGCTAATTAGGATGAAAGGGTGCTTAAAGTGTTTGATGTTATGAAGTGGTAAATGCTATCTTTATTATGCACTAAAAATTGTAGCCAGCTAGTAGCTAGCTCAAAGTGTATTAATGCTGATTGTATTATCGAAGAACTTTAATTCTGAAAAGTGTATAGCTTTCATGTGAGACCCCAATGTCGATAAAATTTAGACATAATTATGTTGCCATGGATGTTATAGCAACAGTATTGCAACGTACGTGTATATTATCAACATACGAGCACGCCTAACAGGGTGCAAGTTCAACCCTGATTAAACATTGCAATTGCCAGACGCTTGTTAAATTACATGTATCTGTCTTAAGACATATTCTTTGGATTAGTCTACAAATGCATTACCGAGAACATTAAACCAAAAATAAATAAATAAATAAATAAATAAATAAATAAATAAATAAATAAATAAATAAAATAAATAAAATAAAATAAAATAAAAATAAAATAACCAAGTGTGCCTTGGCTTATGTTTACCCTATGATCAAAATGGAATCTTATAACTCACCACTTTCGTCGAGAGGCGGATTTCTTGCCTCGCTACGACACCGTAACCTTTTGAATTCCTGAACATCCGCCTTTGTTCTGTTCATTGCAAGAAAAGCTATCTTCTCATTATTAAACAATTTTGTCTCTCTGATGTATTTCTCAAACGTGTGATCCCCGACCTGGGAGGGTGGGGGAATGTTTAATGGATACATTGTAGCTAACACTTCAGAAATTTTTCTCCCCTCAGCGGTAGTGTTAAATCCATACTGTTTTCTAAAATTTCTCCACACGTTACTGTTAAAGTTCGGGTCAGGGGTATTTGGGTAGGGAGGGTCGTGCTTCCCGGCTTCCAGCCAAAGTTTATACGTGAGAGGGGCGTGTCCATGGGTGAAGTCTTTTGTTTCTGTCCGTAAGAAGTGATTACACTCTATATTTAACACAGATTTGGGTTGTTTTCTTGTGGCCAGTCTTTGGACAGGACGAGGACTGAAGCCAGAGAGGGGGACTCTCTGGGGCCTCATTAAGTTCTCCCGCTCCTCAATAGTCGGCATGGCTACCGCTGACATCTTTTAGGATCTAAAAATGTATTGATAAGAAATTCAAGTCAGTCTTCAACAGTTCCTGCCATAATCAATGTTAAATTACGGTAAAATCACTGGTCAAAAATCAGGACGAAAAGTTTTAAAAAACAAAAATGGTGTGAATTCAAATGTTGAACATTAATTTTCGTTTCATGGAAGGCCTTTGCTTAATTTTTATTTCTTGTTTATTTTTCAATGCTGGGAAGCAAACATTTTCTTAAAAGTCTAATGCAAAGCAGGGTAAACAAGACAAAGGGAAAGAAAATTTCAATGAATAAATAATTATTGTGTTTGCAAATTACTTTGAGCAGGTTGAGCACATGTACTACATGCATGTATCTGTATTTGATAATTCTCTTTAGACAATACATTGGCAATATGCATTTCTTTGAAAGACTTTTTAAATGTTTAATGAACTGTTTTTTTTTAACCTCTTCTAAAGATTTCGTGAAAATAATTAATTAATAATAAGATGCAAATTAACAAAGACGGGCACCTGTTTTGTCAACAAGAACCGATAAAAAGTTCCATGTTTAAAATAAAAAAATCATCACTTTAAAATATATTTCCTAAACTTGGAATTTATTTTAGCTATGTCAATTATTTTTTTAAAAAAAGTTTAGTTACCTGTATCTTTTATATGTAAATATAGTCGGCCATTTTGGTTGTATCAACGTTGTCATGGTACAGTGTGGTCTCGTGCAATCTCGTAGACATTTACCTGGCTATTACATAGAATATACCTCCCTCGTATTACCGCACACAATCACAAATTTCAAAGAACCTAGAAGGAACAAATTATATATTTTATGTTCAAAGATTCGAATATTTAAAACGCTATTTTTGAAAAAAAATTATGTTTAGAGTTTTTACAAATATAATTGTAGTAAGTGGTATTCATACCGCATAAATACAGGGCGTACGTAAATTTCCAATACAAAATATACAGAAGCATGTAAACACCATTCTGTCGGCATTGCAATGGACTATTTACATTTAGTTTTATAGTAACCATGTATAGTAGGGTGGCATCGTCTAACAAAATGTAAGTACTGTAGTAAAGGAAACAATCTAAGAAATTACCTGTATCATTATTCAATTAAGTATCGTGTTATTGCAGAATTAAAACCGCGAGTTGAAACATGCTTGACAGATAGGAAAATTCACGTGGTGTGGTATGTCTAAAGTAAAGTCTAGGCTAGTATCTGTAATGTTAGTAGTCAATTAAACCTAATATATAACTGTATTTCTGTGCCATACATGTACTTAGTTCATTTAATTTATTATTTCGATTGTTTATGTTTATAACTTAATACACACTGAACATGCTTAAGAACCACATCAAATTAGTTTATATACATGTGTGTTCACTGAGTATTCAATACGAGTTCTCTCTCTCGCTCTGAGTAGTCCCCCTTGATTGCTATTTTAGTGATGTCTTCACAGTATTACATGATTTCATCACTGGTACCTAGTGTGCCATGTATTAGCTGAACTGATCATCATCATCAGGTCACCATCACATCAGGTTATAATGGTCTGCTGTTCCATATCTGGGACACCGACATTGTTCAGTGAATCATCTAAGTACTGACAATGTTTGTCTGAGTTCCTTGTATAGATAGTGTACCAAGTCATTATAAGTGTGTACAGTAAAAATTGTTTCGTACGAACATGGATTTAGCGAATTCATGAATATAGTGAAGTTTTCTTGGATCCCCAGCTATATCAGGCGCGGATCCAGGAATTGAAGTTAGGGGGGCGCAAGAAGTAGGCAGGGGGTCTGGGGGCCGCCTTGAGGCCCCCAGTGGATCCAGGGTGAAGCCCTGGTGGGGGCCCAGGGGGCGAAGCCCCCGGAAGTTCCTGGATTCTAAAGATTTTGAAGGGTAAAAATGAGGTCTACCGATTAGACATTTTTACATTTTCCTGATGAAACTAAGTGTGATTTATGCTAACGTTGACAATTTTAGGGGGGCGCGTGCCGGGTGCACCCCCCTTAAATCCACCACTGTATATAAATTTAATGAATTCCTTATACGGATATAACGAATTACAGATATATAGCAAAGAAATTTCACAGCTAGGTCCCAGTGACTTCATTATAACCAAGTTTAAATGTAGTTACCTTATCTGACCAAGTTTTTTGAGTAAGCTTCAGCTTTCAAGAATTTTTTAAAATGTCTCTCATCACTAACTAATGGCTATTGTGCAATGCAGTCTTCTTTACAATGCATGCATACAGCATTAGATAATATTTTTAACTATTGAAGGTGGATAATGTCAGATATTAAAAAAATTTCCTTGGTAGATTAATGAAGTCACTGTTTTTCATAAAGGTGTGCATAGTGTATGGGCATTTTCATTGGTCAGTTAATGCATCTATAAATACCTATAAGCCTAAGACCTCAAGATCTGTCTCTTAATTTTATTTGTAGAGTTTTGATATTCAAATATCTGAAGGTTCGAACTACAAGTGTTTAACAGTGTGACATTTTAACTTAAAGTAATATGCAGGGTCCTTGCATAGAGAAGCTGTTTAAAGCTGTCAAGCAGAATAGCTGATAAAAGACAAATTGAGCCAATTTCTTGAAGCAGATTTTTAGCTAAATAGGTAATTCCATTTGCACTTAGTTTATACAGACAACTATAGACCTGACATTTTATAGTTGGAAATGCAATACTGAATATGAAAGAATACTGAGTATGTAATTATTAATGTAAAGTAAGCTTCTATATTACAGAATATTAACCCATCTTTTAGGCAGTTTGTATCCACCTGTCTGTCTGTCTGTCACTGATTATGTGCCTCTTTTATCATATACATGCAGCTCACTATACATCAGTTGGAATATGAATGATCATATAGCTGCTTCCTCCTATATCATCTGCAGAGGGTGATGTAAAATCCCTGGTGTGGCTAGACAGATTTTTTCTTTTTTAAATGTCATGATGGATCTAATTATGTATATCTAATATATATATATTACACTCAGGAAATTAATTCACAGACATAAAGTCAAAACATGCATGTTTATCATTTTAACCAAATGAAAATTAAATTATTTTGCTAAAATGATTACTAAATTGTACTATTTCTATTTATTTTTCATTCTCTGTTCTTTTTTTAAATGAGAAAATGTTCATGCGCTCACTTTTCCGTACATTAAGTATTGATTCCGATTTTCTTGTATACAGTTGATTAATACGAGGTGAGTGAAAGCTTTATTCGTGTCATAATATATTACTACACTGTTGTCATAGCAACTAATTCAATGATGATGGTAGAGCAGGTGACCACTTCCTGCGATTGAGTTGTATGGTTGTGATATATAACAATTCATCCTTGTTGCAGTAATTGAATGCTGTTTTCTAAATTAATTGCATGATTGATTGTGGTCGATGGTCCTAGAAAGGATTAAAAAAGTCTGTAGGTAATGGGATTATAGTAATGAATATCACGGTTATAATCCTCAATAAGCTACAGGTAGGATATATACACCTGAGGCCTGTTCAACAGAGCGAACATTCGTGAGCGCTCGCCTAAATTCCTTATCTTTCCAACAGAAATGTTCGCGAGCGTTCGCTGTGTTGAACAGCCTCCTGAAGAATTCATTGTACCTGGGTGTTGTGCACTCATTAGATTTTATAATTAAAAGTAGGCCATAAACAATTAGAGACCAGATATAAAAAGATTAGCACCAGAAAACAGATTTATAATCCAGTTATGGCAATCCTTGCTAATTCTTCCATCATTTCCAAATTCCAAAAGAAGTTTTCTATAAAGTGCTATTTTTTCATTCATCATATACTTGCACATCTAAAACTCTTGTCATATTAGAAATCCCACATTTAAAGACTGCCAAAAATTCTTTATTGCAAAAATCCAAATAATATTAATATAGATTTTATAAACTTTAATGTATATGCTCAAAAATCCCTTCATATATTGCTGTCAGCCCACAACAATATAAACATGTGAGTATTTTTGTTTAGTTTTGTTTTTTGTTGTTTTTCTTTTTTGGGGGTGTCATCTTACAAAATTTGATGAGTTAATGAGCAACTATCCCCTCTCTGCATCAAGTATTATACTTCACTCTGAACTGATAAACAGTATACATTATAGGTCCTATTTCGATAGATTAAAAAAATTAAGCCACATGCAGGAATATCCACATTCATATTTTTTTTTAAAGAAGAGTTGATCATGTTTTTGTTGACCTATGTAGTTGTCATGCAGCAATACACAGAAATAAGGATGTGTACCCATAGGAACTACTTAAGGTTATTATGTCTCGGAGTCTGCCCTGTGTAGAAATTAATGGACAAAACTTAATGTCAATCAGTGGTTTGTTTTGTTTGTTTGTTGTTAAACGTCCCTCAAGAGAATTTTCACTCATATGGAGACGCCACCACTTGGAGGGCTGCAAATTTATGCCTATACTTGGCACTCAGGGCCATTGAGCAGTGAGGGATCTTTTTTAAGCCAACACCTACTGTGTCATGGGACCTGGGTTTATACGGTCTCCACGTCCCGCAGTGGATTCGAACCTGAGATGTAAGGATCAGCTCCTTAGTCCGCGACTCTAGAGCAGACGTTCTAACCACTGCGCCACAGAGGCGACCATCAGTGGTAGTCCGGCCTTTTTGGCTTTTTTGTTGCTAAAATAATTGCATGCATATTCTTCTAAGTGTTATTGTACAAATAATAAACTTATTTAAATTTTGTCTTTATTAGAATTACAAATCCTGATTACTTTATGAATATGTAATGAAGTTCTTTGTTTTGGCTGCCAACATTAACCTAATTCTTGTTTTCATGGGTGTAACATGAACCAGTGTTTTTTTTACACTGTTTGTTGATTGTATATCACCTTATCAATGGATCTGGGTTTTAAACAACCAACAAAATTAATGAACTGATAAAAAGAATGTACATAGCTATGATAAGAAAAGCTCAGAATGTAGTTTAGGGGAATAAAAAAAAAATCTAATTGTGTTTAAATTCTGAAATTATCTAATTCTCTGTGTCATTATTGTTGTCATCTATATTGTAAATCTTTTATCAAATAATTGTTTGATTAATTAACAGGCTATATTTAATTATGATTGTTTTTGATGTTGTACAGGACCATTTTATTGCCAGATTTAGCTTCCTTAATTTCTAGCTTAAATAATAAATGAATTACTTTAACACTTGGCAGGATTTAAAATTGGTAATGAACTAGGCTTTATGTGTTACTGAATCAGATGAACCTGTCTTAATTCCAGGTATAGACTGATAACTGGATAATGTCCCATGTCAAGAAGAAAGAGCAGTCCAAGAAATCCAAACGAACACTCAATTTACTGGAACAGCTTGTGAGAAATCAGGTGGAGATTGATATAGAAAACATGGACAAAGAGAAAGGAAAAGTCAACAAGTAGGTGGAACTTTGTTTTGTCCTTTGACATGTAGGAGAGGGGGGTTATCATGTTTGAATATGACTGGATTAGACTTTCTAAATTGATTTGTTACTTTATAATAATACAACAACAATTACTTACAGGAAAAAGGAAGACACAGAAAGAAAGATGCATATCAATGGAGATGTCCGTCAAAATGGCTACGAGAGAAAGGGAAGGGAGAAAACTAAGAAGTCCAAACATAAAGTCAAAGAATCCAGTCAAAGCAAGAACATTCATGTTCCAGACACCAGCTCTCCAAAACAGTCCAGATCCAGATCCAGATCACCGTCAAGTTCCTCCAGCTTCTGGTCAAATGGACGGGATTCCAGATCACGATCTAGGTCATACTCTCATTCTAGGTCACGCTCCAGTTCACAATCAAGGTCAGGTTCAAGGTCAAGGTCATACTCAAGATCCAGGTCAAGGTCATATTCTAGATCTAGTTCAAGGTCTGACTCCAGATCAAGATCCAGATCTAGATCACGTTCTCCGGAGACACCAAGATCCAAGTCATCTGAGGAGCCATCACAATCAACAACGAAAAGTCTGCCAGTTCCATCCGTAAAAGCCAGAGACAAAGATGTGATGAGTGACATTGTGACAAGCAGCTCAAAGAAAAAGCCTCCCACTGGACACAGGCAAGGGAAATTATTAAAAAGAAGGCAAATGAAGAAATATAGATCTTTTGAAATTGATCCAGATGCATTCATTGAGGAGAGATTAACACAGAAATATAGAGAGCTGGAAGATATAGTGAAAGGAAAGAGCTTAAAGACAAACACAATCACAAGACAATATATAGGTCAAATGGAGATGTTACGAGAACAGTATCACATGGTGAGCCATGGATTAGCTCCCCCTGGGGTGATTTTACCAAGAAGCCTGTCTCAAGAGATGAGGAATAAGGGTCATCAGAATTCTCATTACAAGAAGAGGCCCCTCTCAGGGGAGAGTTATAACAGTAGGTAGCTTATAACACAACAGAATCAGAATTCTCATTACAAGAGGAGGCCCCTCTCAGGGGAGAATTATAACAGTAGGTAGCTTATAACACAACAGAATCTGAATACTCATTACAAGAGGAGGCCCCTCTCAGGGGAGAGTTATAAAAGTAGGTATCTTAAGACACAACAGAATCAGAATTCTCAGTACAAGAAGAGGCCCCTCTCAGGGGAGAATTATAACAGTAGGTAGCTTATTACACAACAGAATCAGAATTCTCATTACAAGAACAGGCCCCTCTCAGGGGAGAGTTATAACAATAGGTAGCTTATAACACAACAGAATTATCAGTACAATAGGAGGCCCCTCTCAGGGGAGAGTTATACAGTAGGTAGCTTATAACATAACAGAATCTGAATACTCATTACAAGAGGAGGCCCCTCTCAGGGGAGAATTGTAACAGTAGGTAGCTTATTACACAACAGAATCAGAATTCTCATTACAAAAACAGGCCCCTCTCATGGGAGAGTTATAACAATAGGTAGCTTATAGCACAACAGAATTCTCAGTACAAGAGGAGGCCCCTCTCAGGGGAGAGTTATAACAGTAGGTAGCTTATAACACAACAGAATCAGAATACTCATTACAAGAGGAGGCCCCTCTCAGGGGAGAGTTATACAGTAGGTAGCTTGTAACACAACAGAATCAGAATTTTCATTACAAGAGGAGGCCCCTCTCAGAGGAGGCCCCTCTCAGGGAAGAGTTATACAGTAGGTAGCTTGTAACACAACAGAATCAGAATTCTCATTACAAGAGGAGGCCCCTTTCAGGGGAGAGTTATAACAGTAGGTAGCTTGTAACACAACAGAATCAGAATTCTCATTACAAGAGGAGGCCCCTTTCAGGGGAGAGTTATAACAATAGGTGGCTTATAACACAACAGAATCAGAATTCTCATTACAAGAGGAGGCCCCTCTCAGGGGAGAGTTATAACAATAGGTAGCTTATCACACACTAGAATCAGAATTCTCATTACAAGAAGAGGCCCCTCTCAGGGGAGAGTTATAACAATAGGTAGCTTATAACACAACAGAATCAGAATTCTCAGTACAAGAAGAGGCCCCTCTCAGGGGAGAGTTATAACAATAGGTTAGCTTATAACACAACAGAATCAGAATTATCAGTACAAGAAGAGGCCCCTCTCAGGGGAGAGTTATAACAATAGGTTAGCTTATAACACAACAGAATCAGAATTATCAGTACAAGAAGAGGCCCCTCTCAGGGGAGAGTTATAACAATAGGTAGCTTATAACACAACAGAATTCTCATTACAAGAGGAGGCCCCTCTCAGGGGAGAGTTATAACAATAGGTAGCTTATAACACAACAGAATCAGAATTCTCAGTACAAGAAGAGGCCCCTCTCAGGGGAGAGTTATAACAATAGGTAGCTTATAACACAACAGAATTCTCAGTACAAGAGGAGGCCCCTCTCAGGGGAGAGTTATAACAATAGGTAGCTTATAACACAACAGAATCAGAATTTTCATTACAAGAGGAGGCCCCTCTCAGGGGAGAGTTATAACAATAGGTAGCTTATAACACAACAGAATCAGAATTCTCAGTACAAGAGGAGGCCCCTTTCAGGGGAGAGTTATAACAGTAGGTAGCTTATAACACAACAGAATCAGAATTCTCAGTACAAGAAGAGGCCCCTCTCAGGGGAGAGTTATAACAATAGGTAGCTTATAACACAACAGAATCAGAATTCTCAGTACAAGAGGAGGCCCCTCTCAGGGGAGAGTTATAACAATAGGTAGCTTATAACACAACAGAATCAGAATTCTCAGTACAAGAGGAGGCCCCTTTCAGGGGAGAGTTATAACAATAGGTGGCTTATAACACAACAGAATCAGAATTATCAGTACAAGAAGAGGCCCCTCTCAGGGGGAGAGTTATAACAATAGGTAGCTTATAACACAACAGAATCAGAATTCTCATTACAAGAGGAGGCCCCTCTCAAGGGAGAATTATAACAGTAGGTAGCTTATAACACAACAGAATCAGAATTCTCAGTACAAGAAGAGGCCCCTCTCAGGGGAGAGTTATAACAATAGGTAGCTTATAACACAACAGAATCAGAATTCTCAGTACAAGAGGAGGCCCCTTTCAGGGGAGAGTTATAACAATAGGTGGCTTATAACACAACAGAATCAGAATTCTCAGTACAAGAAGAGGCCCCTCTCAGGGGGAGAGTTATAACAATAGGTAGCTTATAACACAACAGAATCAGAATTCTCATTACAAGAGGAGGCCCCTTTCAGGGGAGAGTTATAACAATAGGTGGCTTATAACACAACAGAATCAGAATTATCAGTGCAAGAAGAGGCCCCTCTCAGGGGAGAGTTATAACAATAGGTAGCTTATAACACAACAGAATCAGAATTCTCAGTACAAGAGGAGGCCCCTTTCAGGGGAGAGTTATAACAATAGGTAGCTTATAACACAACAGAATCAGAATTATCAGTACAAGAAGAGGCCCCTCTCAGGGGAGAGTTATAACAATAGGTAGCTTATAACACAACAGAATCAGAATTCTCAGTACAATAGGAGCCCCCTCTCAGGGGAGAGTTATAACAGTAGGTAGCTTATAACACAACAGAATCAGAATTCTCAGTACAAGAAGAGGCCCCTCTCAGGGGAGAGTTATAACAATAGGTAGCTTATAACACAACATAATTCTCAGTACAAGAGGAGGCCCCTCTCAGGGGGAGTTATAACAATAGGTAGCTTATAACACAAAAACAATAGCAATAGGTACATCAATTTTTGGGAGAGTTATAACAATTTAGTAACTTGTCACACCACATTAATAAAAGAAAACAATTTAATACATCAATTCATTATTCTTTTTTTTTTACTTTAATAATTTTTGAATGTAGATCCCCCTTTTTTAAAATGATTTCTTTTGTTATAGAATATGTTATTTTAATAGTCAGATTGAATTTCAATACTTAAAAGTATAGAGATGGTATGATGTTATATTAAGAGTACAAAAAACTAACATTTCTTCAGTCTTGCAAATGAATGCTTTAGTGTAGTTTCTTTGAAGAAAAAAATCACAAAATAGACCTTGAAAACATATTTAGATATTGAACCAATGATCTGCTCTGAAAAGCAACGTGGTCATTTAAAATTGCCGTATAGAAAACAAAAGCTGTTTGGAATTCTCGGTAAAGCTTGGCCTGTTTTGGATTGAGATTTTTTTCCTGCTGATTCCCTTTAGTGCTTTATCTCTAGGCTAGGCACGAGTAAACAGACCCAGGTGGAATATTGACATAAAGCTTTATAACATATAGACAGGGAAAGTTTAACCAGTTCTTAAACTGGAACTCTCCAACACCATTAATTTATCATCATTAAAGTTATTTAGTCATACATGCATTTTAATGATTGCCTGAGCAAAACAATTTCTGTTTTACACAGTACCTGAACAAAATGTTGTCTCCACTAACCATTGTAATATTGTTAACGCTACTTTGTGTCAGGGTAGTGCCAATACAATCTCTGTTGCTGAGAAGTTCTTTACTGCAATAAAGACCCCCCCTCCCCTCCTTCAGATGCTCTTTCTTTGTTATAATAACGATTGTTTCATGTTTTTGAAGTATTCTTGAGACAAAAACTGTATTTGTTTAAGGTTTGAACATGCTTGTATGCATGGACTAAATCTGTGATGAGCACCAATTTTTCTGAACATATTAGGATGATGATTCGAATTTGTAGAAAGAGGGCACAGTAACCAGTAGGGCTGGGTATCGGCTGGAAATTTCGTATTGCGATATATTGCGATATTTTTAACTGTATTGCGATATGTATTGTAATATTTTAAATGACAGTTAAAATGCTCTTTTTCCTATTTTATTAACCTCCTTCTATAAACAGAGTGTGTTAAAAACAGTTCTTGTTGATTTCAGTACAGTTTTGGAACAAAATGCAACCACACAACAGCAACCTTAAAGTTTGGTACTGTTTGGCACAATTAAAAACATTCCTGGCATATCAAATTTCATATAACCAGTAAAAGATGAAATTAAACTTACATTTTGCTGATGAAAAGAGTGACATATCTCCTACATATATTATCTCTTAGAAAAACCAAGTTCATACAAAATGTAAGAATATCTTGATCTGTCATGGTCAACATTTGAAGTGACTTCAAGTCAACAAAAGAAAGATAATGTCAGAGCCATATTGATTTATGAATGGAAAAAAAATCCTTAGTGCTCAAAAACATTTTCCATATTGCTCTTACAAAAATTTGATAATCTGTAAATCATTAAAATAAGATACTGTAAAATAATTACAAAACTCATTTGTTTTGCAATTTCTATTGTAAAACATGCATATTTGCACATGTTCAATTTCTGTTGTAAGATTTACAGTAATTTATCCTCTATATTACAATAACCCTATTCTTGGGCAATCACTAAAAAGTTTTCTTTCGACTGTTGTTATTGGACAGTAGTAGCTCATTTTGTTGCCAGTTACACGAACAAAAAGGAAAGTCCAATACCGTACATGTATAAGTGGAAATTTTAGCGAGACTAAAATTTAGCGATTTATCCTAAAAAATTGATATTTATTTTTAGCGACCAGTAATTTTAGCGATTTTAAAATGCTAACTATAGAAGCTATTACAAATAGAATGCGATTAATTTTTAGCGATATTCAATTTTAGCGATCTCAGTACCCTCGCTAATAATGCCAAAATTAAATCCTTGCTAAAAATTTTACTCATACGGTATAATGTAATTTATTTCTCTCTTAAAGTGAAATTTAGGAAAACAACGGGATATCTCAAGAAAAAAAAAAAGGTATTTAACATTGGGCACGGGAAATGGGTTATATAATCTTATTTTCCAATTTTAAGGTCCAGAATATGATTTTATTCGAAAAAAAATTGGCTGAAGCATTTTAGAAACTTATAACATATATTTGTGCCTTGTACACTTCTTTGAGAAGCAAAATAAATATTCAGAAAAAAATTGCATGTGATACCACAAAATTTGGAACACTTTCCAAAATAATGTACATGTATATTTATAATAGTATTGGTTTGAAATTTTTCCGAAAATTGATTTCCAGTCGTTATAGTTATTTCTTTCATATATTATTAATATACTAATGAATGTACATAAGATACAATCAATGATCATTTAGACATAAAAACTAAACACTGGAATTTCTTTGTAGGTGAACTGTCCAACAAATCCACGGATATGGCTTACCGATCCATGCAGAACATTATCAAAGACAGCAGAAATCCAAAACATGAATATCTTTCTAAGAAACATAAGAAAAGGTCTAAGCGCAAGAATTCCGAGTCAACCATAGACAATTCATCATTTCACTCACACAACACTGCAACTACACAGAAAACGGGCAGCACAGCAGTGACAACGCCCAGAGATATAGATGAACAGGAGAGGATGAACTACCACCTGAAGTATTCCAGCAAAGAGGAGCTCAGAATCTGGCTAAAAAAGAAAGATAAACTCTACAGAAAGAAAGTTAAAGAAGAAAAGGCAAAGAAGAGGGCAGAGCGAGAGCAGATGGTGCTGGAAGCCAATGAAAAATTTGAGAAGAGGCTTGAAGCTCAGAAAATTTACAAAAAGTGGGCCGATCAAAAAAATAAGGAAATTGCAGATCAGAAAAGAAAAGAAAGGAAAGAACATAAACGGATTCTGAAGGAGTATGAAGAGAAAAATGAAAAGAAGAACATCCGTCCAGAATCTGCTCCTCTTAGACGCAAAGATCCTTCTACGCCTGGTGGAATAAAAGTGGAAGGAACTCCCGAAACAAATGTTAATATAAGAGAGAAATCAAACAAATCACCAAATGACTCTGCGCTCTTGGCCACTCCACATCCACCCACCTCGAAGTTCATTTACAAGCGCCCTGTAGCAGGACGAATAAAGCTTGCTGTAAATGGTAACAGTCCACATGGCCAAAAATCTGACCAAGAACGACCAAAAACTGCGTCATCATCACGATCCAAAAGTGCTGAAGGTAACAGGATGTCATATGATCAATGGGTTTCACAGAAACGGAAACAAGATCAGAAGAAAAAAGAGTTGGAAGAAAAGCATAAACAAGATCAAATGTCTAAATCTGACCCAGATCTTAACAAACTTATTCCAGATATTGCAAGAAAAAGAGTCCACAATGTTCTGGAAGGGAAAAAGAGAATTGATACTGGAGTGAAAAGAATTGATGATAAATTAAATAAGAAATTTGGAGGTGCAGATTTTGATTCAGAAAGGAAAGAGTCGGAAGCTAGCGAAAATGTTCGTTATTCTTACCGATTGGAATCGGACAGGACTGAAAATCCAAATCCTGGAGGTCAAATAAACGTTTCTGGTAAGGCAATAAAACGACCTCCAACAGGTACCAGGCGTCCTCAAACAGCCCCAGCAGGAAGGGTTCCACCTCCCAAAAAATCCTCAGGATCTCCACGGCAGGCTGTGGTTCCTAAACTGGAAGATGTGATGAATGAGGAGAACTCTTCCAATCCTTTTAAAGTGCCTTTCCCTGCTGAGGCAGGAGTACCTAAACATGTAGCTTCCAGACAGAGGAAGCTTTTTGCAGAGCAGATTTGGGAGAGGTTGGAGGGTGAAGAGAGACCTGAGCCACAGGGTAGTGATGTTCCAGAACCTGCGACTTGTGTAGGAATGGGAAGCCCTCCAGCTAACGACTCTAAACCAGAGACAGAAGACGAAAGGGAAAATGAAAACAAAGATAAAACAGAGAGTAGCAGAGGTAAATCCGAAAGTGAAGAAACTGAAAATGAAGAATCGAAGAAAGGAGAGAGTGAGGAAAGTAAAGTGTTTTTGACTCAGTTTAATTCAATTGACAATTTAAATAAAATTGAAAATACAAAATTTGAGGGAGAAAAAACGGAAGATAGTGATGAAAGTCCTGTGATAGAAAAACTTAACCTAGATTTTAACGAGAGTTCTCAGAGAGAAGATGAATCTGATTCAGAACAAACATCGACCGATCGTGATCAGAAGGAAGAGGAAAAGTCGAAGGAAAAAGATGAATCAACAGAAGAGAAAGAAGAATCTTTGAAAGATGATAAAGGCAATGATAAAAAAGAAAGTGAACAAAATGGAGATGACAACAGTAATGAATCCAACAATTCACAAACCGAGAAGGACAGTCTTAAAAATGTAGATATTCTTAATTTGGATCTGGAGAACATGACTCGCAGCAGCAAAAGGGTGTCATTTAATGAAGCTCCTGAGGTGTTTCAAACGGAAGATTGGAGCACGGATACCCAGACACCAGACGAGGAGAACTTTAAATCTGAACTTGAAGATTCTACTGATTCCAGTGAAAAACAAAATGTCACCTTTAGTGATGAAGATGATTTCTGAATATAATATTTCAAAAATCTCGGCAGTTTCTTCAAGTTTTTGTATATCCTTAACTGAGATTTCCACCTAGGGCATTGTAATCAGACATAGGAGATCTCTATTTAATGAGCTACATGTAGAGATATTTATTGCTCTCATTTATCTAATTGTCATAGAGAATAGATTGTCACAATTATCACAAAACTGCAATACTTTTCATGTAAAACAGGAAAAATTACATACATTTAAATCATAAATCACACACCCGATGTTAAATGTATCGACTACATCATCTGAAACAATATTACATGTATATCCATTTCTCGATGGAAGTACAGGTTTAGGACACATAATTCAATTTCTAATTTTATATTTGATATTTGCCGTTTAGTATTTTTTTTTAAAATACTTCGAATATCTTTTACAGCTTCTTTAGAAAGACTACTAAAATCGTTTTTCCTAATGTGAGTACGTAGCCCTGTGCCAGGTGAGAAATTGTATGTGAGATTGAGGTGCTATACAGTGGTTACATTTTCTTTACACTAAACGAATTTAACAAAATTTACCAGTGATTTCCTATCTTGTTAGGTAAAGAAATAAAAAAAAATGTACATGAATAATTTGAAGAAATTTTAACATACAAGTAATTATCTAATCAATAAACTCTATTGAAGTCTCCTAAGGTTAGATTTCAATATTAGATATATTAAAGTATATATTACTAATGAAGTTACCTTTTGTTTGAGAAGAAATGTGATAAGCATGTAGAAGCATAAAGAACTAAGTTTTATGTTATATATGGGAAGGCCATGATCTGGATAACTGTACAACAGTTTACAGAGGTCGGACTTATAAGTCCAGGGGCTCGCTTTACAAAAGAACTCACGACTGAGACCAAAAACTTCAGTTGATTGTAAAATCTTGTAAAATTAATATTTCTATTAAAATATGTTTGCATAAAAATATCTTTCTAATTTCTTTTTAAAAAGATTTGAACCGTATTCAAATTAATGTAAAAAAGAGTTATTTGCAGTTTTGTCTTAGTCGTAACTTCTTTTGTAAAACGGGGCCCTGCAGTTGTATAAAGACTGTGATAGTGCTATATTATTTTATGAGAAAATATTGACTTTTTTTTGGTGTGAAGTAGTGAATTATGTACATAATAAAGCTAGAGTAAACAATATTGCACCTTTTCTATCACAAAAACTAGGAAAATTGTATGTTCAGTTTTCCTGTCACTTTTTAGAAATACTATTCAGTTGTTGCCTCATAGCTTGTAATTTAATTTGATGCCATAAAATGTTACAGGAGAACTCATTGATAAAGGGGACACTACTAGTATATAACTTTCAATTAAGGAAAAATGTGCTTTTTTCATAAATGATTTTTTTTTTTATGTATTTATATTTTTTTTTTGTTTCTTTAATCATTTTTATATTGTCCAGCTATCATTTCCTTACAGATGTCTTGTTAATGTACGTATGTTGTGAAAACTCCGTCCAATGGTTGAGAATTCATGGATATTAATGATTATTTAAGAGAGAGAGAGAGAGAGAGAGAGAGCTAATATGTCACAGATAGTTTTGTTTGTACTTCATAAAGTACTGGAGCTATGTAGAATCTATAGAATTAAACAAATGGTAAGAGGTTTCACATGTTGTGTTTTATTGTTTATTCAGAAGATGAAGGGAAAATAATGATGTCCATGGATATTTGCTAGTTATTGAACCACGGAATAATTTTTTTTCTTTTTTCTTTTTACTCTAGAAATATATATACCTATAGGGTCACGTTATCTAAAATGGATAAACAAAATTATATCTAAAACCTAAACGACAACTTTTCCACAATGAAACAACAGTAAATGGTTTTTAAAATGTCTGTATATACAAATAATTAAGATGAGTAAGGAATAATGATGTTTCGGGGAGGTTTAAAGAGGGTGTTGCAGTTCTTTTGTTATTTTCCCTGAAGTTGTAGCAGTTTAAAAGAAAAATTTTAAGTAACGGAAAACGGTCTTAAATTTTTTCAGATACAACGGTATATACAGCACAATGTAGAACAATATTTAGAAACTGCATATCGACTTCCAATTTGCCATTAAATGAAGTGTAAATTAGTCACATAGCAAAATAAGTCAAGTTTTCTGTTTTTCAAGTAGGGAATCCCCATTGTTCTGAAAAATTGCCTCCTTGAAACAGAATGAATTTGATATACGCATAAAGAGACAGGATTTTTCTTCAAAACTGCCATTTCCGATTTTTTGTTTAAAAGAGGCATATTTTCGAAAATCACAAAAATCGAATAAAAATTATTATCCATCCGAAATGCAAAATGTGCACATAAAATAGCACACGATATTTCGATCACTGTTGGAACTGGTCTAGTGGTAAAGCGTGTGGACTCTATGCAAAAGATTCTTTTTACCTGAGAATGGGTTCGAATCCCGGAATGGCTGATAGATATATAGATATATATATATATATATATATATATATATATATATATATATATATATATATATATATATATATATATATATATATTTTTTCTTATATAATGGAAGAACAATGTAACACTTCTTTTGAGAGAGAAAGAGAGAGGGAGAGAATGTTAGAAAATTAATGGGTAATATTTTAAATGCATGCAGAATTAAATTGTCTTCCTTGATATTGTGATCTAAAACTAATAAGACATATATTTAATGTTATTATTTAGTTGCGATGTCTAAAATAAAGTACTATCATTTTAAATATAATTCAATTTTTTTCATATGCATTTCCTTTCATTATTGTTCTGTTAACTAGTGGCTCAGATTTGACTTGAAACAACTAAAATTGAAATGACTCAATGGAATTTCTTGGATATTGCATCAACAGCCTGATTATTGTACACATTTTTATATATTGAAAAATATTAACGCACGCAGTCTACATACATCTTTCAAAATAATGTGCGAGGTGCACTTGCCATTAATTGTGATTTTTATCGTTCTAACTTTTCTCGTGCAATATGGCGATAGTGACCATAAATGTGAAAAAAATTTACTTACAGGTCACTAGTCTATGTTAATTTTTTCCTAATAGGAAAAAACTATGCGTGAAATAAACGTAAAATGTTAAATTTTTTGTTATAACAAGCTGGACGTACACGTCGTATAAATAAAGTCATCTACGTAGCATTATCTATATTTAGAGATAACTCTTCATGCGTCGTGGGTATTTAAATGTCCTTCTCGATATAGGGAATAATCACGAGTTTCTGCAACACCCTCTTTAGTAGATTCCGTTGGTACTCTTTAACACGGATTTACATCTTCAATGAATATTGATAAATGAAATGTTTTATTATGACTATTTTGTTTCAGAAGACGGAGGAAAAATAACACAATACTTATAACGATATGCAATCTCCCAGTTCTTTTAATTAAAAGTGAGGTAACTCTCTTTGCATTTTTTTTACTCGACGAAGGAATGGCCTTTTTTCAAAAAAAAAAAAAAAAAAAAAAAAAAAAAAAAAAAATCCGAAAGTGATAAATCCCGCAGGGTTCATATAATCATTGTTAAAGATTTATTTTCATAAAACAGGGATTTATTAAATTTGGATTTTTTTTTGTTTCTAGTTTCTAGTTTTCGAAAGCTTATTTATATTGTATATTTAATTTATATTATCTATATTATATAAAGCTTGAAATTCATATTCTAAATCTTGTTATTTAATTGATATACGAAAAGTTTTTTTTTTTATATATTCGTAAACTTGTGATTTATATGAAAAAGAAAGCAAGTAATTCATTTTTGATAACTTTGCGGACTTCTTGTGCTTTATATGCGAAATAATTGAAACGCAGTGATTTATATATATATATATATATATTTAAATTGTTATATACTCATGTTCTTTAATTTTATTTGACGCATGCAAAACTTTGATTCATGTTCGATAATGTTGTTTATATGTATTTACAATTTGCCTCAAAAGATTATCGCAAATAAATCATCAAATCATTGCATATAAATCCAAGAGTTATCGGATATGAATCACATGTTTAACAATATGAAAAACTACTTCACAAGGTTTCCTACAGAAAACAAAATCTTGCATGAATAAGATTTTCTTTTATTTCATTCATAAGATTTTGCATATAAATCACAAGATCATGGCTTGTAAACAACATTATCAAATATAACTAACAAATTTTGGGATATCGGGTATGCATAATAATAAAAAGTTTTATCGCCTTTGCAACTTCGAACTCTTACGTTTTCCCCTTAGAGGCAAAATACCAAGTGTCTCCAAATTTTCAAACTGAAGCAAATATAACTACCTTGTTCAATTTGTTATTTCTGCTGAAAACAACCGAAAATTAATAAATATAAAATTGCATAGGAACAACTACAAGAATGTTTATTGCAGCCCGGAGGACTGGACTGCTCGATACATATAAGTTTAAGTTTTGGTGTATGGGATTGAGGTGGGAGAAGTTATTCAGAATTAAAGGTTAACATTATACATCAGGCCTTCAACTCGACATTTAGATATATCGACGACGTATTGTCAATTAACAATGGTTATCTCCATTCTTATGTCGATACGATTTATCCTGATGAGCTTGAGATAAAAGATACCACAGAGTCTGACAAATCTGTTTCATATTTGGATATTTTACTTGAAAAAGTCGTTAATATGATAAACGCAGCAATATACCTTCATCACCTGCATACGGGGTTTATATCTCTCAGTTGATTTGATACGCAAGAGCATGCTCTATGTATGTACAATTTCTAAAACGAGGTAATTTATTGCCAAACAAGTTGATGAAACAAGAATATCAGCAGTCTCGTTTAAAGTCATCATTTCGTAAGTTCTATGGCCGATACAATGACCTTGTCAGCAAATACAGTTTATCATTGAGTCAAATGCTGACTGACGTTTTTCATACTAATTGTTAGGCCATTATTTACACACTGAATTGTCGACGGATTTTTTCGTTATTTCCCGATCATGACAAGGAGCACACGGCGGGTGTGACCGGTCGGCAGGGGATGCTCACTCCTCCATGGCACCTGATCCCACCTCTGATGTTTTGGAGGTCCGTGTTTGCTCTGCTCCTATTTTGTATTGATTAATGGACTTTTGAGCTTGAATACTGTTCGTTATCTCCATATATTTCATCAGAATGTTCTTTCCCTTTATTAATTAAGAGATACACAATATATTTACTTCCATGAAGTACATCTATAAAAATAAATGTTTTTTTTTATATAATATACAAAGTTGCTTATCATTTACTATCGACAGGACCTTTTTTAAAACATAAAATTTTACTTATTGCATAAAAACGTACGTTACACAGTTTGTGTTTTATATTCATTAAGTCAAATATATTTTTGATGATAGATGATACACATGTCTGATTTTAATTTATATTTTATGTAGCCAACAGTTACTTGACGAAATGAAAAAGCTTAAAACGTCATCGTTTTTGTTCGATTTTAATCCGATTAGAAGCTTTCCGTAAATCTTATCGACTATAGTCTCAGTCCTTTATCACACAAATCGAAGCGGTTTGATGATCAAGATTTTACTTCATTTATTTCCCGGGCGACAATTGATGGCAACATCAATGTTTTCTTGTTTATTGAGACGTATTTTACTTAGTCACGACTGCTGTGCGATACCTGTCAAGTTCTCGCAAGTTCTTGCGATAAACATTGTCAGATAACGAAATTTTATTGTCACTTGATGTTTGAAACATCTTTTGGAAAGTTTCATGCTAGTTCCTTTCCATATTTCGTTCACGAAAAAAATTAGGACCACGTTGTAAGAAAATGAAGTGCAATATACATATATACTCACACCGGACTGAGTTTTGATGCTGGTTTTGTTTTTCATAAGAACACAATCATAAATACCGCTTTGACATTTGTGTATGTACTGATCTTTAAGACGTTGCTCACCATTTGATATATACAAAATAAAATATCTCTATAAATAAAACTTTTCTCTCAAGTTTACGAATGTCAAAAAATAGCTGTCGGCGCAACACTGACGACGTCAAAACGTAACTCGTGGCATTAGTGAATGAAATATATGGAGATAACGAACAGTATTCGAGCTAAAAAGTCCATTAAACATTACAAAATAAGAGCAGAGCAAACACGAAACTCTAAGACATCAGAGGTGGGATCGGGTGTCATGGAGGAGTGAGCATCCCCTGCCGACCGGTCACACCCGCCGTGTGCTCCTTGTCATGGTCGGGAAATATCCGTCGACAATTCAGTGTGTAAATAATGGCCTAACAATTAGTATGAAAAAAAGTCAGTCAGCATTTGACTTACTGATAGATTGTATTTGCTGACAAGGTCATTGTATCGGCCATAGAACTTACGAAATGATGACTTTAAACGATATTCTTGTTTCATCAACTTGTTTGTGAAATTGTTCTGGAATCGTGCTTCTAATAAAATTCGCTTGAAGCATAAATTGAATACTGTATTTAATTTTCTTTTAGAAGTTATCCATCTCAAATACTAGCGTTACCAAAACATCGCGGAATTATTTTTTTTAAATAGAAAATTTCTCATCCCCGATCATAAATCTTACTGCTTGCATTATTAAACAGCATTATTAATCATCCCG